CGTCGCGTGTGTGCCTCTGCCAGCGGTGGCAGGCCGAGTGCATCGTCAGCGAAGCGACAGCCTATATAAATGCCACAGACTGTGCAGTGCCTGGATTGGGCCATCGCTACCAAGTCAAGGGTTCTCTCTCGCCCCCCCGTCCATCCGCCACGACGGGAAAAACCAAAGTGACGAGTACGGCGCAGCAGGAGCGCCCCGTGCTGATAGGCCGCGCCGCCCCAGCCATGGCCATGGCTAGCCGCGACAGCGCCTTAGTGATGATCTCACCCATGGCGCCGCCCGCGCCTGCTCGCTTTCCGACGTCGTGTTCGTCCGCGACTGCCCCGCACAAGCCCGAAACTTCACCTCCATACCTGTCCCAACCACGACACCCATACCCTCGACGACGCTCCGCCTGCCACGACAACACCGCTGCCGCACACATCACCACGACCACTACCACCAACCGCCCGCCTGCTTCTCCACCCCCGACCTCTCCCCCCCTTGCGACTCGCCCGCCCCAGACCGCCGCGTGGCGCTCCCCCGGGCCCCCCGTCTTCAGTTCGGGCATCAAGCAGTTTGCTACCGCCATGGAACCACGACGGCGGCCAGAGTACAACCTCGACATCTTCGCAGACACGGCCTTTGTCAAGGATGTCGTCAAAGGTGCGTTCCGCCTTTGTTTTTCGCCCTTTTCTCTCTCTCCAACTTTGTCTTCTGCGCGACGGCGCAACTTTGTCACCCCACTACCCGCTGCCCACCCGGACTTCGCCGTGAGCCAGTGTTGACACGCAAAACAGCAATCCTGCACACCATCTTCTTCCACCGCTACTTTACATCGATATCCCCGCTCACGCGCGATCTGCTCGACCTGACGTTGCCCGCTATTGACGATGTCGATCTCGAGACGCTCATTGAACAGAAGACTTTTGCGCTTGTGCGCTCCATAGACAGCACCCACCAGCCCAGGGGCAGAGGCCAGATTGTCGTGCAATTTTTCGAGAAGAAGAGAAGAAAGACGTACTTCTTTGGCAAGGCAGACGAGGACGTCTGCTGGGAGCAGTGGACCATTGACGTTACCCTCGCCCAGCCCCGGACAGAGACTGGTAGGGAGCAGCCCACGGCATTCGCTATCGGCAGATTTACTAATCCGCTCCACAGACGCGCTCAAGGTCCGCCGCGCCATGACCAAATCGCTCGAAAAAGCCGCGCACAAGATCATCGCCATTGTAAACCGAGACAAGGACCATATTCCCCCTATTACTACGACCGATGCCAACCCTTTTCCTTATCAGATTGTTGTCAACCCAAAGTCTGCTGAAAACGACTGGCGGCCTCGCATCGGCCTCTTCTAACCCGACATCATCCTGACCCCCAAGGAAATCCCAACTGTATATACATATACACCATCTTGCACGACCCACGAGTAAAGAGACGTTCAACACGAGTAGGATGTAATATTTGTCGCCCACTGCGACGTAAAAGAGACGGAAAAGCCTTCGATCCACATGTTCGACCACCGCGGTGTTTTGCGAACCGTTCATCTCCTTTCCCCCTTCGCCGCCGCCGCCACCACTACCAAAAGCTCCACTGTACAGTGTCCGCCATGTCGGCCAACCCCCTATTTCTGAGTAACTCTGGACTCGTTTCTGTTTACGAGTCTCAAAGAACATGCGCGTTTGAATTTTTGATAATTGCTTGCTGCTATAGCTACACAAGATACCCCCAATTCCCCAATGAAATTAAACTTTGCCAACAACATTTCCAAAACAGTCTGCTAGTTGTGCCCGCAATTCCTAATCATTCATTCATTCATTCATTTCTCCTCTCGGCCCACTCGACCCATCTCTTTACCACTTCGTCCACCTTCTTCACTCCCTCCCGTGTAGCCTCGACCTCGAACCACTCCTTGTGACTCTTACCACATGCTTCACACTGCTTAACTACTCTCTGCTCACCCAACTCGAGATGAATCAACCGCTCCACTCGATGCGCATACGGCACTTTACGCACCGTGTCGGACCCAGGCCGCGATGCAGGTGACGGGCGCCCACTGCCCTGATATGACGGCTGTCGTGAACCCGCGGGAGACGCTTGGGGCGAGGGCGTTGCGCTGGCCGAAGAGACGTACGGATAGTACCGTACGAGTGAGAGACTGTACCCGCATTGTCGCGTCCACTCGTTCATTCTGCGGTGAACATTATTTGCACGCCCAATCTTGAGTAGAATCTTGTCTTTGCCGCCCTTTTCTTGCTGATTCGCGTCGCCGCTGCCCTGCCGCGACCGTGTGCTGCCAGATGCTGGCTTCTTGACGGAGTATTGCCGCATCACATCGGATGTTCGGCGGCGGCTCTGGTCGCCCCGACCTGAAGACGGAGGCGCAAGCAGTGTCGACGCAGCAGATGAAGGCGCCGGCCCTGCTGCTTCTGGGGTCAACCAGAAGATATAGATGAAGCCTTCTTCATCGTGGGGGGAAATGGGCTTTGAGAGCTCGGCCAAAAGTGTAGAGGCTAGTTTAGGGGCCAGGGTCGTGGGAATGTAACGGAGTAGCATGCCGGTTTCTGAGTCTGGGGCGCCGCTAGTAGTTTTGTTTAGTGGACGCGCAGCCTTTTCGCCTAGGGGTTTGCGTGCCGGTACGCTGTTTGGTGGGTTGGATGCGATTGGCGGTCGAGAGGAAGACGGAGGCCGAGAGGTTTGCGAGCTGCTTCTTCTTCGAGCTGGTTTCTGCGGTACTCGAACTTCTGCCTGTAGCTGTGCCATTTCGTGCGTGGGTCTTGTTACTTGCTGTGTCTCGGCAGCTGGTGGTTGCTGATCCGTCCTCTTCTTGTGCCGCACAACTTGGGTATATTCTTCGTCTGCCGATCCACAGCACAAAGACGCCCAGAAGCTCTTCTTCTTCTCTTGAGGTGGTGGTTTGGATGGACGGTCCCTTCTTCTCCTTTCTGCCATTACGTCGCTTGGTACAGACATGAGAGGTCCTTCGACCGTGCCCCAGGTCGGTGGCCTGTTTATTCGTCTTGGTGGTCGGGAACCAGAACTTCTTCTCCCATGGGCGTTGCTGCCCTTTTTTCGTGGATCCGCTCCATTCTGCTCTTCTATGTCGAGAACACCGAGTCGCGCCACCAACGTATCAATACTGCTCCTCTCTTTCAGTGGGTACAGTTGTGTCGCTGGTCCGGTAGATGTTTTTGCAGCCAGCGTCTCTGCCTGGTCTTTGTGCTGCCAGCAAAAATACGCAGCCGCGCCAATCTCCTCATCGCTGTCTTCGCCAACAACAGACGTCACGGCGAGAACTCCATCGCCCTGCGGTTCCTTGGCGTCGATCGGCCGTCGACATGGTCGTCCAGATTTCGTGATGCCTTTGCACGTGGTCGCCGGATTTCGTGAGTCTGAGCGAGGAAGAAGCGACTCTGGTGTTACTCCAGTAAACATGTTGGTATGCAGGGAAGCAGTTCTGCAGTTGGAAAATGTCGGAAATTTAGTCTGCAACAAAAACCTGTATGTTGCTGGCTGTGGAGCGCTTTGACGCGTGCATCACGGCGCGTCGATGTCACAGCCTCATTGCCTCACCAGGGATCAAGTGGGCGCATGGCTGTGGACGACGAGCGGAGCGCAGATGACGGCACAGCGGCCACTGTCGCCTGGGATTGCGGTGAGCCAGCGCATTATGAGCCAGCAGTCGTAGCGTGAAGTGGGCGCGTAGCTAGAGCGAAAGGTGGGACTAGTTCAGACTGTGGCTGTGCACGTGGCGCAGCTCTGCTCGGAGGTGACTATCACAGCCTGGAGAAGGTGGACTTGCTACTCAGCATCAGAAAAAGTATTCCCATAAGTCTGGGCCCTTCAGAATTGCCTGATCGTGTATCTATGACTTTTGACAATGGTCTTGGTCTTGTCATCCTACCCCGTACCGAGTGCGAGAGAAGGCCTGTATAGCCATGGAGCCAATGGGGACACATTGCGTGACTCGTATCGTCAAAGAACCAGGATGTCTTTGCAATGGAATACTTGTATGTCCAAGCCTGGGTGTGACTAATCCGCACGTGATCTACCGTGCACTGAAGCAAACAGGAAGGCGCTCCTTGCCCCCAACCTCAGCAAGTGGGTCACCCAAACATCACCACACGACAAGCTCTCACAATACTCAGTGATTGCATCTAGAGAGTGCGTATGTGATGATCCAGTTCTGAAAGAGATGTAACTAAGACTGACAGTAGATCTTCAGGACACGGCACGAACCATTCCTTCACGCAACAAAGGTAGCCTAAGGCTAACCGCTTCCTCCATATCAGAGCAACAAAGACCACATGCAGCATTTTCATCTTCTGGAACCAGTTCTTCTACATCTCGGGTCATTGTTCATTCACACTCACGCTACGTTTCATCCCGTCCACCGCTTCCAATTCTACACGTCCTTCCTACATTCTTGACCACATTATAAGTTGTTCTTGTCACACACTGTTAATCGAGCTCAAAGTTCGTCACCAAATGCCACAAAGACCAGCTTGATGGCTCCAAACAGCTGTTACTCAACGCATGGCCTATGTCGCCACTTGGGTGCAAGTGTCTTTGAGATTCAGATACAGATTTACTGCATTGTGCAGGAAGTCAAACAACCGGCATTACCGACAATTGCGACTGCAGAAACACCTTCGCGATACTTATGTGACCGCGGCTTCGTGTCGTCGTGGTACTTCTGACCGTACGGTAGACTCGATTGGTTTGTGGAAGCACACTTCCCATGTTGAGATTACGGGTGTTGCACAGAGTACATGCCCGCAATACTCACTAGCCCACAAAGGCAGCGTATCCTTCGGTGCGTGTCGATAGCGCTTCTCCAGAAATATGATTGGCTCCGCCGGTACAAAATACAATTACCGAGGTGGGGCCGCTTTCCATCCAACCACGGCCTTCACAGGAACGGCTTGAAACTAAATTTTTCCAGTGGAACATATTCCTAGCTGTCCGCTCCTTCCTCCATCGAACAACCAGCTCCTGCCTGGTTTGCCTTTCGACCCTCAGTAGCATCGGTGGTTTAGTGGTAAAATTAGCCGTTGCCATTCATCTCTTTGAGACGAGCGACGTCGGCTAGCCCCGGGTTCGATTCCCGGCCGATGCATCCTTTTTGCGGTGGCGTCCTACTGAGTTAGAGGTCGTCGAGCTGGTTTTTGTTGGTCAATCTGGAAGATACCAGTACCACAGGAGGAATCGATAGGCAACATGCAATGGAGAGACTGTGGTATTCGCTGAAGACTCCTCACAATAGCTCATACGCCGATTTGGAAGAACTCCGATGCATTAACTATAGGCATATGGTATTTTGTCTAATTAGTCTACTACACCCTAGGTCGGTGAGAACGAACTGCCTTGGCGTGTGGTAGAGACGCATTTTGGGCACGAGATGGTAGCCAGTCGCAGCGCAACACATTCCTTTACGAGAAGGAAACTTACTACACTTCTTCATCCGTTGGGAGACTATGTCAGCGACAAGAATACATAAGCGCATCAATGTCACCTTTTGCGTCTTCATTCGGCCAGAATCATAAGCTCACCAATTCTTGCAGCAAGATTATATTGACTAAGATAAGGGAGACAGATATGTATGGTCACAGGTATTCGGGCCTACGCGTATGTTTCGAACCCTTCACACGTCCCACGCACCTCTCAGTCTGGAACAGCAACGGTTACTAACTGCAAATCCACGGGCGCGATAAGCTGGGCCAAGTCGGCATTTACGATCTATACCAGTGCAACAGCTATCCCGGGAAGTCAGCAGAGCTGGTCCAGGTCGTCGTCGGACATTGTATCCCTGTCATTCTGGGGTTGAAACACATCTTAGTGCGGGTAAGTGGTGATGCGGTACTTCTGTCCGGCGCGGCATAACGTGTATCGGGCCTACTCATCGTGTACTCGTTTGTAAGCATAGTGTGTGTCTTTCCACGGCGAATTGACAAAAAAGCTAAGTTGTTTGAGCGTTTCCGCGTGTGGAAGAAGATAAACTAGACGGTACGTCTGTATCTGCATAGAAGCCGGGGTAAGCCGTACATCGCGTATTATAACATCCTCGAATGAACCCTGCGCTAAACCACTTACCGAAGGTCCACGCGACATGCACTAAACAGCTACAATAGCGCATCGTACCAAGACCCCGCTTAGTACGGTAGAGGAACGCGGAATTAGTGACCCATGTAGAGACGTATGTATTTGCACGAGGATAAAAGGCAGCGTAGTCCCCTCTCAGCTTGAGGGAAGTTTCAATTTATCTGATACCTCTCTTCTTGTACACCATCCTTGACTGTGGAGGCAGAAAGATTCATAGGTCATTGATACCATCATGGCGGTTCATCCATTCAAGATCCTCAATGCAGAGGAGACGCGCATTGCGCGTGACACCGTCCTCTCCCTTCATCAAGACACCGTTGTGGAATTTCGAGAAATCTTCCTGCAAGAGCCAAACAAAGAGATGATGAAGCAGTACCTTGAACTCGAGCACGCTGCCAAGCCGGGCCTTTCCCCAGCGTCCAAGCGGCCACCGAGGCTGGCAAAGTGCCATTATGATGTCATTGGATCTGACAAGATTCCCCGGTACCACGAGTCGGTCATCGATGTCGAGCAAAAGAAGAGGGTCCGGCACGAGACTTTCCCCACAGACACTCAGCCTAGCTTGACTCTATGGGAATTCCAGAATCTAGTTACCGCGTGCAAGGAGAGTGAGATATTCCAGAAAGCCGTTGCTGAGTTTCAATTACCCGATGGATTTGAACTAGTCATTGAGCCATGGTATGATGCCCTTTCCTCTGAGCCCGTTCTTTCTTCCCAATACTAACCATCGTAGGCCATATGGTCCAGTCGAGGATGACTATGAACCCCTAAGATACTTCCAGGGTCTCTGCTTCGCCCAGGACATGAGGAATGGAAACCCAGACTCCAACTTCTACGGATACCCATTGCCCATTAGCCCAGTCATGGACGCCAAAACAAGGAAAATCGTTCGCGTCAACCGCTTGGCTACTGGTGGAAAGGGCGATAGCATGACGGGCCAGACATGCTCTCCACGCGTTCTTGACCACTGCGAGGAAGCCGAATACGTCCCTGAGATGGTCAAGGGCGGACTTCGCGAGGATGTCAAGCCCATCAACATCTTACAGCCAGAGGGTCCCTCATTCAAGGTTACCGACGAATCGCTGGTTGAGTGGCAAAAATGGAGCTTCAGGGTATCCTTCAACCCCCGTGAAGGAGCTGTCTTGCACGATGTCCACTACGATGGAAGGAGCATTATGTACCGTATGAGCATCAGCGAGATGACGGTTCCCTATGCCGATGCCCGTCCAGGCTACCAACGCAAGCAGGCCTTTGACTTTGGCGACGGAGGTGCCGGAAACTGCGCCAACAACCTTTCTCTTGGCTGTGATTGCCTGGGTGTCATCAAGTACTTTGATGCTGTCATTGTCGGTTCCGATGGTGAGCCCACCGAACACCCCAACGTCATATGTCTCCACGAGCAAGACAATGGTATTGGCTGGAAGCACAGTAAGTGAACGAAATCATCAAATATCAGGTCATTGGCTAACAACACATAGCCAACTGGCGAACGGGACGCGCTGTGGTGACACGCATGCGTGAACTTGTGGTCCAATTCATCATCACCCTGGCAAACTACGAATACATCTTTGCCTACAAGCTTGACACCGCTGGTGGCATCACCATCGAGACTCGTGCCACTGGTATTGTCTCAGTCGTAAACATCGACGCGGGCAAGACCTCCGACTACGGCAACGTCGTCGCTAACGGTGTCCTCGCCCAAAACCACCAGCACATCTTCGCTATTCGTGTGGACCCGGCCATCGATGGCCACAAGAACACAGTCGTCTATGAAGAATCCCTCCCAGCTCCTTGGAACAAGGAAACCAACCCCAACGGGAATTGGTACGAGATCCGCAAGACAGTCGTGGAGAAATCCACTGGTCTCGACGCCAACCCTGCCGACCACCGCGTCTTCAAGATCATCAACCCGGCTAAGAAGAACCCCAAGTCGGGTAATCCGGTTGCGTACAAGTTCGCGCCGCTACCAACACAAAAGTTGCTGGCGGCAAAGGGCAGCATACAGGCCAATCGCGCCCTCTTCACCAACCACCACGTCTGGGTGACAAAGTACCACGACGACGAGCTCTATGCCGGCGGTCGCTTCACCATGCAGAGCCAGCTGGAGAAGGGCGGTGTACACGACATGGCTGCGCGTAAAGACGATGTCACTAATGAGGATGTTGTCCTCTGGAATGTATTTGGTTTGACACACAACCCTAGGTAAGTCCTTTTCATACCCACCTACGTACACATAAGTACTAACAACCGAACAGAGTCGAAGACTGGCCCGTTATGCCTGTAGAAATCCATCAGATCCAATACAAGCCCAGCGACTTCTTCGATCGCAATCCCGCCATTGATATGCCCAACACCAAGAATAATGCCTCGGTACTGGTAGGCAAGGACGACTGCTGTGGAGGAAAGCTATAAGTGAGGGTATGAAGAAAGCGTAGGGCATCTTGATTTTTCCTCTTAGTATTTTTTTGCTGTTGCGGTCCAAGCACATTGGCGTTTTAGCTCTTCTCAGCCCCTGTTTTTTTTTTTGGGGGGGGGGGGGGGGGGGGGGAGAAAATATGTGTATGAGTAAATGATTGAATTTGAGACAGGAATATGAATGTACATGAAAAGTGTAAACCATTTGAAAAGCAGTGATGATTTGACAGTGCTTTTAATATTCGATACATCTTATCCCTCTCGCTCGTTTGGAGATTGTAAATCTGTTGTTTATTGCGAGCACCTTCTCGTCAGCAGAAACTATACGACAACCTATTACACAAAACGTCTCGTTGAATGCAAAAAAGTAAAAAGGGATAAGAATAAACATGAAAAAGAGGTGGAAATATCCTCTCGCAAAACACACAGCACTGCTGTGCAAAAATGGTATTCCCTATGCAGCTCTACCATACGAAAATTTTGAACAAGGCGAACAAAACGAAACAAATGCCCAATACTGCGCAAGCCAAAAAGAAAAGAAGAGGTCCCAATGGTTCCGCTATACGCCAGTGCCTTTTCCACAACATTGTACTAGGACACACCAATATTTACATACCCCAAGCGCCGGTAACGGCGTTGAGAGCACCATCGACAGCTTCTTCGAGCGTCTCGACTCGAAGCCTGAGCGTGCGGTTTTCCTCACGCTCTTTAGCTAGACGGCCCCACACAGCGGATTGTGCACCGCCTTCACAATTTGCACATCCCCATCCACCCCGTGCAATATCTACCTTCTCCTGTGTATTCATCTTTTGTGTTGATGCAACCTTCTTGTTCTTGGATGTGCTGTCATGGATGTCAGCGTCGAGGACGGAGGTCCGGTCGGTGGCGGTTGGGCTCATGCAGGCGCCTGAGACGACGCTTGCGCCGTCAGTCTCTGTCTCGGACTCGAAGCCAGAATCGACGCTCAGTCCCGAGCCAGAGACGCGGTTGTGTCGTCGGACAGCAGTGTCTTGGCATGACGCGTGTTCGCACTGCACGGAGCCTCGGATAAGGGCAAGGTTCCTCTTGCGGGCTGCCTCTTCTTCTTGTCTTGCGCGTCGCTCAAATGCAAGATCTTCCATGAGCGACCGCATCTGCTCGTCCTGCTCGTCGGCTCGTCTGGCCATGGTCTCGAGTTGCATCTTGAGGTGGCGGGCGCGTGTCTCGGCCTCATCGAGCTCGTCCTCCTGGGCACTCTGTTCTGATTGCGCGTCTACCAAGGCGGTAGAGAGTTTGCGATAGGCTGTTTGGTAACGTGATAGTAGTGCTTCGGCGTTGGTGAGCAGGTCGTGGAAGGATGAGGCAGCAAGAGGGTCGGCGGGGCCATGTGGGAAGAGAGCTTGTGAAATGTTGAGGTTCAGTAGCTCATCGTCGGGGTTGTGGTATGTGGGCGACCGCTGTGGGGGAGGTACAGCAGCATTCTTCTGGGTCTTGAGCAGCCAGGCGAACTTGCTGCTTGCGGTTGGCTGGCTCGGGGGCTTGGTCTGCGGCTGCGTAGCGGCCGCGGGCTGGGGGCTCTCCGAAGCACCCCTGGTAAGCGATGAGCCGCGATTGAAGATGTTG